ACGGGGTTTCACCGTGTTGACCAGGATGGTCTCGATCTCTTGACCTCGTGATCCACCGGCCTCGGCCTCCCAAAGTGCTGGGATTACAGGCTTGAGCCACCGCGCCCGGCCTAGAAGGGATTAATTTTCTAAAAATATTCCTATATACATAGAAAAAAACCCCAGAGGAAATACACAGGCTTTTATCAGTGGTACTTCTCAAGTAAAAGAAAATTCATCTTTTTTTTGTATTTCTAAATTTTCTGTAGTTTACACACACTGCTCTGTACCAGTAGAGGGGGTATTATCTCTACAGCTTCCAGTTGGTCTGGGATTACTGTCTTGTGTTTACCAACTTATCTTTTAAGGCAATGGTCTCTAGTAGTCAGTTGCCACAGCTTTTTCTTGAAGTGCTTACCTAGTCTTAGATGCATTAGAATCTCACTAAAAAAAATTAGTTTATCCTCCCAGACTTCTTGTGTGCACGTGCATTCATGGATTTCCCTGGGGATATCCTATAACAATTGTTATCCCCTAGGGTTGGCACAGCAGGAAGAGGAGCTGGGATAAGAAACTTTATTATTTCTTCATTGTTTAAATGTTTTGCATTGTATTGCTTTTGTAATTAAAAAAAGTTAAACAATTTATATTAGTGCATGTAGGCTAAGTGCTGTAGCAATTCACCCTAATAGAACAGTTGCATGTTTCTTGCTCACAGGTTCCTTTGCAGCTCTTTCTAGTCAGACCATTCCTTTGGGCAGTTCTCTGCCAGCTGCAGCCGAGACCTCTTCCATCTTGTGGTTCTCTTTCCTCGGCCCTCTGAATTCTCTGCATTTAGCCAGGGGTGGGGAAAGAAGAGAGTCAGTGCAGGAGGGATTTATGGGTCTGTCACTCAGCCACATGACTGCACCTAATTGCAACGGAAGCTAAGGAATGCAATTTAGTTCTGTGTCTAGAAGGAAAGGGAAGTGGCTTAGTGAAAAAGGAGCAGCACTCGCCTTAGTCTCTCTTCCAGATATCTGCTTCACTCTTGATCCCCCAAGGGGGACTCTTTGTCAAGGTGCCCAGTGCAACACAGAGCATTTCCCAGGATTACACAGTTCTTCTCTATGTCAGGCCTGGCTGTGGTTCCTCATGGTCCAGCGATCTATGGACTAAGAAGACAAAGTAGTTGCTCTCCCCACCAAAATGCAGTGGTTAAATGTAACCATGGTTTTTGTAACCATTCCCCTTTCAGAAAAGGAGACACATGGCAGACACCAGTCTACAGCAGTTTTGAAATGATGCTGGGGTGGATGTGGGAGGAGTTTCCCAGCTAGACCCTGATTCAGCTGTGTAGGAGGAATTCCTTTGTCCATTGTTCTTTTTCTTTCTTTCCTTTGAGACAAGATCTCACTTGTTGTCCAGGTTGAAGTACAGTGGCACAGTCACAGCTCACTACAGCTTCAATGTCCCTGGCTCAAACCATTCTTCCACCTCAGCCTCCCCAGCTGCTGGGGCTACAGGCATGCACCACC